ATTAAGTACAGCTACTCAAAGCCATTACTGAAAAATGCTGAGAAAGAAACGAACACCGATCGATACCTGTCGCGGAAGTATTTTCCACAGATGTTACACTGATATGGTCGTTCACCGGTATGGGTTCGAATGTGTATGGTGAGTGCTTGCGACTGTGTGAAACCCTTGCCGCAGTAGCCGCAAGAATAGGGGCGTTCGCCTGTGTGCACCCGTTCATGAATGTTCTTGTCGCGTCGATGGTGGAACATCTTCTCGCAGTACGAGCACTGGTATCGCAGCGGCTTCTCGGCCGAAACCTGCTGACCATTGACCATACTCATGCAGTTTTGCTGGTGCTCCAGCATCTCGTGCTCGGTTCTGTACCACTTGCCACACAGCGAGCAGAAGAAACGCCGACCGCTGGCATGCAGTTTCAGGTGGATGTTGAAGTTGGTTTGGCGGGCAAAGCACTTCGTACAGATGTGACACTGATACGGCTTCTCGCCTACGACAAAAATTACACCATCAATCACAAAGTATAAACATAAGCGCTAAAGCATCGTCCCTACCTGTATGCACGCGTTCGTGCATCATCAGGCTCTGCTTGTGCGTGAAACCCTTGCAGCAGTATGTGCATACGAACGGCTTTTGGCCCGTATGCTGACTCTCGTGGCGCATCAGCTTCACGCGCGATCCGTAGTTCTTGTTACAGAAACCGCATGTGTAGTGGTTCTCGTCATTGTGTACTTTCTCGTGAACCATCAGCTCCACCTGATAATAAGAAATATAGTTAATGGAGCTTCTCAGATACATCACACTAACCTAGTTGTACTGGCACATCTGATTCTCATTTTTTAACTTACCTATAAATGTCGAACTGTCTTTTACACCAAGCACGCATGTCATGTTTCATCTGAATAACTTTTTCCCAACCTCAACGACCATTGTAATCATTTTTAAGGTTAGGTTATTTGTTGGAAGAAGACATCGTGAAAATTTCGTCACAATATTCTGTTTGTTGAAGTTCAAATCAAAACTGCTGCAACAAATTTATGCTGATCATACCATGATCTTGAGATCTTGTCACGTATCGTTTACTGTTTCATGAATCCCCACTTAATATTTAACAAAATAACTTAACTTAATATTTATTTGGTCGAACAACTGCTAATTCTACCGGCAACGTGTCCAGGCCATTGCCATTTCGACTTTGCTCACTCAGACATCGCAAATCCTTGATCGTGCTCTCACACTTTCGCTCGTCTTCCTAACTTCCTGATATTGCGAATATACACCTGTCCATACTGCCATGCGTAATCTGC